ATGGTCCTCCACTCAGAACCTGTTGATGGTCCTCCACTCAGAACCTGTTGATGGTCCTCCACTCAGAACCTGTTGATGGTCCTTCACTCAGAACCTGTTGAAGGTCCTTCACGCAGAACCTGTTGATGGTCCTTCACGCAGAACCTGTTGCTGGTCCTTCACGCAGAACTTGTTGATGGTCCTTCACTCAGAACCTGTTGATGGTCCTCCACTCAGAACCTGTTGATGGTCCTCCACTCAGAACCTGTTGATGGTCCTCCACTCAGAACCTGTTGATGGTCCTCCACTCAGAACCTGTTGATGGTCCTCCACTCAGAACCTGTTGATGGTCCTCCACTCAGAACCTGTTGATGGTCCTCCACTCAGAACCTGTTGATGGTCCTTCACTCAGAACCTGTTGATGGTCCTCCACTCAGAACCTGTTGATGGTCCTCCACTCAGAACCTGTTGATGGTCCTCCACTCAGAACCTGTTGATGGTCCTTCACTCAGAACCTGTTGATGGTCCTCCACTCAGAACCTGTTGATGGTCCTTCACTCAGAACCTGTTGATGCAGTTGCTCCTCGCCTTTGGAATGAGCTTCCTCAGTCTCTGCGCATCTTAGAGACTGTTGAATTTGTTTAGACCATAGACTGTATAAATTAACGGACAGAGTCACGCCTATCTCCGCCGTTCTAACTAATGGGCCAAAAAATGTGCTCTACTGGACCTATCCAAAATGGCCGCGAGTGGTCCCGCCCACAAAAAAATTATGCGTCAGCCGGCGAGAGCTCCATTCATTTGAACGAGAGACTTCAAAAATTCACAGCAAGAAAACTAGAGTGGACCAAAACAATCCACCCCCCTCAGCATTGACACATGTGCAACGGAGCTTTTGGTCCATCCTATAAAGAAGTTTTCGAGGTCTGCCAACGCTATATGTTAGCATTGGCTATTTCTTCTTCTGGGTCCACCCCCATCGGCCCGGGGTGGTATTGTAGCATGTCAGCGCACGTCATTTTGGCCACTTTTGAGCTGGGACCCTCCCCCACTGGTTTAGACAGGCTTTCTCACCTCACTGTTCATAGGCCTCTGAACTGTGTTTTTCTGTGCTTTTGTTTTTAAATCTGACTTGTATGTGTATTTTATGTGTGGAGCGCTTTGTGATCCTGGTCAGTGAAACGCGCTATACAGATAAACTTTACTTACTTACTGAAACGCTCATTTAAAACAAAAACACAGAGCCATTGGTCCATGTGTCCATAAATGTTAATAACAAAGTCGAAAAGTGACGTTTCTTTCCATGCAGCCGCTGTGCCAGCAGGAGGTACGGAGGAGGCGAAAGTAAATGGTCTCATTAAAAAATGATTTAATTTAAGTGATGTCCGAAACATAATTGAAAACGTAAACAAGGAAATTAAGTCACAGTTGTGTCGTGTTATCAGACTAAGTACCTCGAAGAACACAGTTTATACATGAATGAATGGGGGAAAGTTTGTTTTTCCGTTGCCATGGGAGCCGGGGAGAGCCTCTGGTCTCTCTCTGGTCTCTCTCTGGTCTCTCTCTGGTCTCTCTCTGGTCGGTCTCTCTGGTCGGTCTCTCTCTGGTCGGTCTCTCTCTGGTCGGTCTCTCTCTGGTCGGTCTCTCTCTGGTCGGTCTCTCTCTGGTCGGTCTCTCTCTGGTCGGTCTCTCTCTGGTCGGTCTCTCTCTGGTCGGTCTCTCTCTGGTCGGTCTCTCTCTGGTCGGTCTCTCTCTGGTCGGTCTCTCTCTGGTCGGTCTCTCTCTCTCTGGTCTCTCTCTCTCTGGTCTCTCTCTGGTCTCTCTCTGGTCTCTCTCTGGTCTCTCTCTGGTCTCTCTCTGGTCTCTCTCTGGTCTCTCTCTGGTCTCTCTCTGGTCTCTCTCTGGTCTCTCTCTGGTCTCTCTCTGGTCTCTCTCTGGTCTCTCTCTGGTCGGTCTCTGGTCGGTCTCTCTCCGGTCTCTCTCCGGTCTCTCCCTGGTCGGTCTCTCTCTGGTCGGTCTCTCTCTGGTCGGTCTCTCTCTGGTCGGTCTCTCTCTGGTCGGTCTCTCTCTGGTCGGTCTCTCTCTGGTCGGTCTCTCTCTCTCTGGTCTCTCTCTGGTCTCGCTCTGGTCGGTCTCTCTCTGGTCGGTGTCTCTCTGGTCGGTCTCTCTCTGGTTGGTCTCTCTCTCTCCGGTCTCTCTCCCGGTCTCTCCCTGGTCTCTCCGGTCTCCCCCTGTCTCTCTATCTCTCTCCAAACCTCCCTCCCCTTGGCCTGCTTTTTGTTCCGTGTCTGGACCCACTTGGCTGGACTGGTATCAGTGGGTTACAGGTCCTGGGAGGTCAGGCCACGTCCTCTGAGCACAGACCCACTGTCGGGCCCCGTATCTGCACTCGGGACTGAACGTTCCCTCCTCTGTAGCAGAAAAAGACCCAGTCCCAGAAGAATGTGGTGGGAAACTAAACTGGATCCACATGAGCTGCTTTCTCCAATAGATAACTACCGATAGAACACATACAATCACTGATGGTTTGGCTGCAGAGTTACAAGCTAAAACTACCACCAAAGAAAAACCATAATTTTTCTGTTTAGGATTTAGGTTTTGGATAAAGGCATTTAAATCAATCAATTATTTGTATAGCACAATTCGTGTGTGACGCAATTCCAAGTCCTTCACAAGAGCAATTAAAAAACAGACACATGCATAAAAATCAAAAAGACAATGAAAAATACAATCATTTCACATTAAAACAGTAGCATAAAAGTGTGTGGTTTAAATGTATAACTCACTAAAATATGGGTTTAAAAAGAGATAAAAGCAATAAATAGTAGGAAATAGAATCCGTTGTATAAACAGCTACAAGGCATTTTATTATTATTAATTAAAAATGGAGGCTTTTACAAAATTTAGAGTCTGGTGTTTTCTCAGTTCAGTTAAGTTAAGTTAAGTTAATTTAATATAAAGTCAAAAATGAATAGTTTTTGTCAATTGCGTCTTTGCGCTCAATATGTCACATATGGTATGTGTGTGTTTTTTTTTTTTTTTACATAAATGAATAAGAGAAAATGATAATTAAGGCGTGTGTGTGTTGAAAGTGCTGATGAGAGAATGTGGAGAAGCAAAATCCCTGTTTGCTTTTCCCCGCCTCGAGCTCAGCCTCTGAGTCTGAGCCTCAGGAGCCACGGGTCTCTGGACGTCTCACTGAGCCACACTTCAGCCGAGCAAGCTAAACAACACATTCCACTGCCACAGACCCGAACACACACAGAGACACACACACAGACAGGCACACACATACACACATGCATACACACAGGCACGAAGACACACACACAGACAGGCACACACATACACACATGCATACACACAGGCACACACATACACACATGCATACACACAGGCACACACATACACACATGCATACACACAGGCACACACATACACACATGTATACACACAGGCACGAAGACACACACACAGACAGGCGCACACATACATAAACACAGACAGATACAGACACACACACACAGGCACACACAAACACACACACACAGGCGCACACACATACACAGAGATCATGTTGTTCCATTCTCTCCACACAGCGAGACGCCGAACACACTGGACCATCAAAGCCTCCGACCAAACACCATCCATTCACTCTCTCAACCACTCATTACATTCAGACCTATGTTTTTAGTGGTAGGGGAAACTGGAGCACCCGGAGGAAACCTACACAGACTCGGGGAGAACATGCAAACTCCACTCAGAAAGGCCCAGTTCCGATGGGGATTCGAACCCAGGACCTTCGTGCTGACTCGAGAAAGCGTCAAATTTCCGACCTGCAGCAACTCAATTCAATTGAATATAAGGAATCGTGTTTAAAACTATACTTTGTTGCCAGAGCACGCGTCAACAATCATCATTTTGGTAGAAAAACTGTACAAATGTATAATAAGTGTTTCCTACAGCTGGAGTCATGTGTCTCAACATGAGGTTCAGGGCTGTTGTAACAAATCTATGACATTTACAACATACTAGTGGCTTTTAGTAAGTTTTTTATAAATATAGCGCCTTTCTCAGACCAGAGTCAAAGCGGTTTACAATTGTGGGCATTTGTCTCTCACTCCACAGAGATGGGAGTGGGACCAGTACGGGAGGAACATGCCAGAACCTATTGTACATGTTTTTAGTGGTAGGGGAAACCGGAGCACCCGGAGGAAACCTACACAGACACGGGGAGAACATGTAAACGCCACTCAGAAAGGCACTGTTCCGGTCGCGATTCGAACCCAGGACCTTCTTGCTGAGAAGCGAGAGAGCTATCCACTCAGGTGGCTGAGTGGAGGAGGTTCATTTACTCTTCTTTGAGCAGAAATAACAATACACACAAAACTGTAGCTTTCCGTTTACCGTTTACAGTCTGAGGAGGAAAGTTAAAGCCCCAATCACAGCCGTGCATCTGGTTCTTCCAATGTTATTGTTTTGTCCACAATGATTGAGATGTGAAGGTAAAGAACCAAAAGAACTTGAGGGGAAAGACTGGATTGAAAAAAAACTTGGGTGGAAGAACTAGAGAGGCAGGAAGCTCCCTAATTATATTCAATGTGATAAACCAATTACAAAATTAGTGAAAAAAACCTAATAACTTTTTGTGTTAAAAAAATAACAAAAAATATCTTTGCATTTGTGGTCATAACATTTTCCTATATTTTACTAGAATGTCAGGATTGGATAAGAATTGGATGAGAAATATCAGTTAAATATATCGTGGCAGACAAAGAGATATTTGAGAAGTGAAAGTTTATATCATTCACTCACAAAGAGAATCCAATAACAAATCTTTGCAGTCGTACGGCGCTAACATGTGAAAGTGAATGGGGGGTATGAATACTTTTCCGAGGCAGTGTGGAGTCATCTTTGCCCGACACGTCACTGGTGCAGAGCGCAGGTGGAGCCGTGTTGAAGGACAGGCCAGGGTCATCCACGTGACTATATATGTAATGGTACGGCTCGTTGGTCGATGGCTACATTAGCGCTCCGAGGTGCTGCCAGAAAGAGCACGTGGAACCATACGCACCATCCTTCTTCCAAATCAGCGAGCGAGACAAATGCCTTGCAGCCGGACGCCGAGTACGGGACATGAAACGCATGATGGAACGGGCAATTAATGGCGTCAGCAGCGGCGCAGATCGGAGTGGGGAGGCCGCTAGCTCCGTATCTCTGCGCTGATTAATGGCGGGGTCGAGGGAGGGGCGGGGGTTAGCGTACCCCACAAGGAGCGCAGAGTGTGTCGGGTAACGAGCCACTGAGGCAGATTTATGTCCCACACAAGCCACCTCGCGATCGTTGGTGCCCAGGAGAAAGTGCCCCCACCCCATCTCCTTGAAATGTCATTACATGTTCATATGTATGGAGCTAGCAGAGATGGGATGAGCAGCGGTAATGCTAATGAGGATTGGGTTTTTGGCCTTTTGTCTCTTTCCCGCTGGCTGTCAGGTTCCTAAGGTCCAGAATCAGAATCAGAATCAGAATCATTTTTATTGCCAACGTAAGTAACGGGAGGTCACAGACTTGGAAATTGCTTTGGCTCAGTGCAACAGTCAAAAAGAGATAATAAAAATAAGAATAAAAAACACTTCTAAAGAATAAATTTAAATTTAAAATAGAGTTACAGTTACTATTTACAATATACAAGTGCACATGGTGCACACAATGTAAGGTGACAGCAGTACAGTGAAGTAAAGTGACGTATGATGGGCAGTAAAGTGACTTTATAAAGGGCGGGGGGACAGGTTAAGAAGTGTTCAAGAGTCCAACAGCAGAGGGGAAGAAACTGTTCTTGTGGCGGGAGGTTCTAGTCCTGATGGACCGCAGCCTCCTGCCTGAGGGGAGTGGTTGGAATAGTCCATGTGCAGGGTGAGAGGGGTCGGCTGTGATACGACCAGCCCGGCCTCGAGCTCGGGCGACGTACAGGTCCTGCAGCGATGGAAGGCTGCGGCCGATCACTTCCTCTGCAGAGCGCACAATGCGCTGTAGTCTCTGTTTGTCCCTGACTGTGGCTCCAGCGAACCACACGGTGATGGAGGAGGTGAGGATGGACTCGATGATGGCCGTGTAGAACTGCACCAACATCTGTGCAGGCAGCTTGGCTTTCCTGAGCTGCCGCAGGAAGTACATCCTCTGCTGGGCCTTCTTGATGAGGGAGCTGATGGTCGGCTCCCACTTGAGGTCCTGGGTGATGGTGGTGCCCATGGTGTCCATACGGATGTTTCTCACCTACTCACAAAAAGTCAATTTTCTCTGCTGCGTCTCAATCTGCGATCATTCACAGGACTTTGACAGCACGATGTGTAAGGTCAGGAGTCCAAACTGGGAGCCAGGGGAAAACTGCAGCCCTCAAACTACATCTTCTATGCCCTCAGACATCCTGTAAACAGCCCTGTACTTATGAACTAAAGCAGGGGTGTCAAACTAGTTTAGGTCGGGGGACAAGTTTTAACACATGAGAGCTGTTTGGGGCCAAAAAAACCCCATAAACATTCTTTTTACAAATTTACTGAATAACACTGTTTTTTATTTTTATTCTATTTTTAATACGTATAAAGCTGGCAAACCTGTATATTTAAATGCGTTACTTTTATCTCTAACTGAACATTATCAAGAAGAGATGTACTTTAAGACTGATATTAATTATTATTTTTTTATTTATTTAACTAACTATAACTTCTCATAAGATTTCAGTTAATATTTTAGAACCGATTCAATTATATGGTTGTTCTACTGAGAAAATAGGCTTTATATATGAGGCGATTGAAGCATGCCATAGTAGCCCATTACCTTCAATTCTGGAAGTTACATTCAGGGGCATCACTAAAAATGGTGTTGCGGGGCGGATTCAGCACACAGGCCTGAGTTTGACTTGCCTGGACTACAGTTTGTAAGGAATATTCAATGTATTCTTGCATAGCCCTAAATCGCAACAGTAGTAATCTCAGGGGACTTTACAAAACCGTTGATTTGCCGACACAGATCAGAGAATCGAGAAATGCCATGGTAACAAACACATAGAGCCATTGGTCCATAATGTCCATAAACATTGGTGAAATCCATAAATGTGGAGTGTCCTGGATCATCAACATATTCATAGTTTTTCAGTTTTTCAGATTCATTGTTTTTCAAGAGACAAGAAAATTCTGATTAAACAAAACTAAAACGGCTTGCTTTAATTTCCAGAAATTAAGAAATACTCTTATGGGGTATGTATCACCTCAAGTGTTGTATATATTTTTTGCAGTATAGATGTAATAGTACTCAAAAAACATACAAGATACAAGCTACTATTAGTATTCATTGGACGTTATGTGTATCTCTGCTTTGTTTGAATATATAGAAGTCAATAAAAAGGCTTTCCATTCATCTCTACACATAATTTGGTGATCATTTGTGTTATTGTGGCGTGTGCAGACGTTACCTTCAGTCTGTCTTTGGGCAGGGCCTGGGCTCCTTTCATGATGACCTCCTGAACTCTCTCCACAGAGAGGTCAGTGCCGGCCTGCTCCAGGCGCTGACTGAAGAAACCAATCACCTACAAAAGATCAGAAGGATCAACAATAATGTGCTGCGCGGACAAAACATTTAATGTAGCCGAATAATGCTTCAAGCTGAAAATATTGATGGTGTAAAAATCACTAGTGTTGATTGTATAACAGCACAAAAGCACTGTTTCTACCAGCCATTACCTTCTCCCTCTCCTCTCCTCTCTCCTTTCTCTTCTCTCCTCTCCTCTCTCTTCTTTCTCCTCTCTCTCCTCTCCTCTCCTCTCTCTTCTCTCTCCTCTCCTCTCTCTTCTTTCTCTTCTCTCGTCTACTCTCTTCTTTCTCTCTCACCTCTTTCTCTCCACTCCTCTCCTCTTCTTTCTCTCCTCCTCCTCTCTCTCCTTTCTCTTTTCTTTCTCCTCCTCTCTCTCTCCTCTCTTCTTTCTCTTTTCTCTCTCCTCCTCTCTCTCTCCTCTCTCCTCTCTCTTCTTTCTCTTCTCTCGTCTCCTCTCTTCTTTCTCTCTCTCACCTCTTTCTCTCCACTCCTCTCTCTCTCTCCTCTCTCTCCTCTCTCTCTCCTCTCTCTTCTTTCTCTCTCTTCTCTCTCTCTTCGCTCCTTTCTATCCTCTCTCTCGTTTCTCAGTACCTACTTGGTCCCGGTTCTATCCAGGCCGAGCTGGTACCAAACTGTTCTAACTGCCAGTGATTGGACTGAGAGCTGCTTGGTAACCAGGGCCAGAGAAGCCATGGTTACCAAGGAATTTCCCTGGATAGCTTACTAGGACATGGTACCAGATTGTGACGGAGCAGGTTCGACTTTAACTATTTACTTCAGCAATTTTTGTTAATCAACTCCAGGCCGGATTTCATATGCCACACACACCCCCCACACCGAGCACCCGACCCACTATGAAACTAATAGAACTACCAGAGCCGTCATTTTGACTGCTCCCATTCAAACCAATTGAATTCTGAGAAATGTATATTTTTCCACCAGATTATTAAAAGATTTACCTTTACTCACTTTAGTTTATTCACAATTCACACAGTCCCTAAAAGTACATGTGTTACATTGTGAAAATGGAACTCCCAGAAGCAGAAGCTTTTACATTAGGGGTCCATCACACCACCACCATCACACCACCACAGTCACAAACCTACAGTCAAACATACAGTCATCATAATATAAATAATAATAAAAATAAAAATAATAAATAATAGTGATAATAATAAAAAAGTAACTAGTGCTCCCAGAATACATAAGTAATAATAATAATAATAATGACAATAAAGATAATAATCCTAAATCAATAACAATAATTAGGGGTGCAACGGTTTGAAAAAATCACGGTTCGGTTCGTACCTCGGTTCAGAGGCCACGGTTCGGTTCATTTTTCGGTTCATTTTTCTTTTTGAATAAACCCAGCTCATGTGGACTCGGCACCTGCTCTGACTGCCCCCCTCACCTAGAAATGAATTAAGGTGAAGGAAATGGATGGATGGGTGGATGGAAGGCATATTCCATCCATCCAATTATGTCTATTTAACATAATTAATGAAAAACAACACAAAGTGCAACATAAGAAGGCACTTTATGAGGATATTTACCCTCATATATTACACCACCTTCCTGATTCTCCCAAGGAGGGGGTCCATTCTGGGCCCAGCCTCATTCACTGCATTTATTTAATTTTTGGCATTATCAGTTGTGACTGGAATATTAGTACTGGGCCTTTGTCTTCCATTCCTCCGCTGCTTGTGTCAGTACCTTCGCTGTGTGACTGTGTGACTGTCGTAGAGGGGGCGTGTCTGCAGCGCCAGACTTTTCATCTCCCAGTCTGCGGTGATGAAGTGAGCGGTTCCGCTCATGGATCTATTATAGGTTCCGCGGGACGTCCAAACGTCAGTCGTGAACGCAGCTGAGGATGCGCGGGAGAGTTGACTTTAGCCCGGTCTGACTGTGCGTAAAGGAGCTGCTTAAATGCCGCGACAATAAGCGGTCGTTGAGACGCTTTTTTCACTCATGTCTTTCTTGTGCCACAGTGCTTACACACTGTGACAGTTTTGTCGAATATGAATCATCAGTGTAGTTACAGTGAAGCCAAAATGCTCTCATACTGGGGATTTAAATGACGCGGGGCTTTCAAGCATCTCCGTTCCTCCGCTCGCGATGACCGCGCTGTGTGTGGACTGAACAACGTGCGCACAACTTTTTTTTCATAAATCAAACCGCGGATCACGTCTGTACCGAACCGAAGACGTTGAACCGAACGGATCACGGATCAGTGATGAACCGTTGCACCTCTAACAATAATAGATAAATAAAGAATAAGAAATAATAACATCTTCACCACACTTCAAGGAAGTACAGAACACTTTGGCAGGCGAAGCTGCTGAATGCTCATCTCCGCTACCAATAATAATTATATAGTAATGATAAGAATAATATTTAATGTATTCCTAATATGTAGTTGTAAGTGTTTGCAGCTGGAGTTTACTGTAGGGTAACTTCTGCCAGCCCTGAGATCATGGCTTTTGTTACGTGCTAAAACTGGTAACAGCAGAAACGGTATAAAAAACATGAAATTTAACATACAATTTATTAAAAGGTTGAACTTCTCACATTTCTGCTCTGGGACTTCTAGTGTTAAAGCTTCCCACGACACAGACACTAACGCGTAATGAAAACACAACCAGGTAGAACAGAGCCGAGTAGAGCGTGGGGCTGGTGGAAACGGGGCTCTATACCCATAAACATGTCCTTTATCTCGTTGAAGATTACTGTAATTCACTCTGTTCCGTCTTGAAGAGCTCTGACTTGAAGCTGTCACATCCAGAGCGCCGCCGCCACGCCCTCGATGATGACACCGCGAGCAACACGCTCACGAGAACGCCATCAGAATGACACTTCAGCCATATGTTCCCTGCACTGTGTGGAGTGTATCATGCATGAGGTGTTGACAGCACTAAATATTTAACATATACACAGCTCCTGACAAACAATAAAACACAGTGGTAGGAAAAAGTTTGGGCACCCCTATACATTTCATGCTTTCCTTTTTAAGAACTGCATGTATTTATTTTATTTATCTAAAATGTCACTTAAATAGATTGTACAGGAGACTAACGCAGTGATATTTGAGAAGTGAAATACAGTTTATATCATTTACAAAGAGTGTGCAAGAACGATTTCAACTAAATGTAGCCTCTGAATAAATTTAGGATATTATTTTAATTTTATTTTTCATTTGTCAGTGTCTTTGTATTGTCTTTTGTCTGGACCTTGAGTCTGGAGTAAAGATATTTTCTTCTTCTTATAATAATAATAATAATAATAATTTACACTTTGTTACACCTTTGGGCAGTTCTGTAAATGATATAAACTTGATATAACTTCTCAAACACAGTATCATGTTTTTCTCCTATCTGACATATTTAACATGTTAGGGGTGTCCAGACCTTTTCACACCACTGTCTATTGCACTTAAAGATGCACTAAATACTTTGATTCTCCGACTTCTACCACGCCACTATACGTACTATAATATCCTCGTATGGAACACGCCTCATTATGTCTCACGACCGGAGACGAGTATAAAACCAGTTCAAAGCCTGCGTCCTAACACGGCTCCCGCTTCGAGGAAATCACTTCAGTGTCTGCTTTTTTTTTTAAGCTAATATTTTATTAACACGCGCGCCAATTTATTACGCTTTCCTGGAACGGCGTCATGAAATTAAAATGTATCTCCCATCCATGCCAGCGCCCCCACACTAGAGCCTGATTATAGTTGCGTCTACGTGTTTATATCAAATTCTAATCTCTTCATTAACTTTAGAGGGCTCCCATAAGGGGTTAATTTAGAGGAGGCAAAAAAAAAAGCTGGCCTTCATCCTGGATCTCTTGCTCACACACACACACACACACACACACACACACACACACACACACACACACACACACACACACACACACACACACACACACACACACACACACACACACACACACACACACACACACACACACACACACACACACACACACACACACACACACACACACACACACACACACACACACACACACGTTTTTGTTACCTGGTGGGTCCCTTTGACAGGGCCGTTCAGAATGGGACCCATAGACATAATCTTTTTTTACCAAGACTTTAAGTAATACAAAACAGTCAATAGAAACCAAACAACTATTTTAAAGGAATTTTATTTTAGATTTTGTTTTCGAATTGCAGTGATTCTATTTTTGACATAGAATTTAATGCCACTCCATGTCCGATGTCTAAGGTCATCTGGTGAGGCATTAATGCAGGCCAGGCAGTGAGACTTCCCAGGGACCTTTCCAGTCTGTATGAAAGGTGTCATGGTCTTCTCCACAGCCTTCACCTCAGATGCAGACCATGGCTTTCTTACACGTTCTAGGGAGAGAAATAAAAATATATTAGCAATATACACTCCCAGGGTGAGGACCAAGCAGCCTGGCTGTAATCCCCCACCTGGTACACTTACCAGAAGGGGCACTGCCACTACCATGGGGTGCATCTGGATGAATGGTTGAAGGTTCTCCGCTTGAAGTTTCTTTTAGCCCGTCCGTTTGTGAGAGGATCTCTACTGCTCTCCCTGTCGCACAGAAAATAAAAATACAAGTGGCCTTTAGGGGAAAAAAATCATACATATTTTAATAATATCAAGAATTACCTTCAGGCTCAATTTGTATCTGGTCGAGGCTCTTTCCTTCGAATTCCGTCACTCTTCCCTGCTCCATGGCCATCAACACTTTGCTGATTTTGGCCAGCTCCAGTGTCCCCTCTGGTAGTCTGTAATATTGCCTGTGGATGCGAATGTCATGGCCGAGGAAGTTGGCAAGTATGTCCATCTCATTCTCTTTCATATTGAGAACTGTAGACATAGTAGCTATGTGCTTTCTAAGTTTGGTTGAGGGATAGCATCTCTGGATGCACCGCACCACATTCTTTGGCTACCTGGCGTAGGGAGTCTGATCCCCTGATGTGGGTGTCTGCGCCCGGGCGGGAAAAGAAGTATGGGTTATGGTCAGAGATGGAACAGGCCCTTCTGTTCTCCACCAGCACCTCCATCGAAGCAATCATTTCAGGAGTCAAAAGAACCGGCACTTTCCGACTTCTTTTCCCTTTAATTTCAATGCGTTGAAAATGCTGACACAGCTTTTTCTCAAGTTGGGACAGTCCCAGAGCAATGTCAGAATGGATCCCAGTCTTACTTCTTAAGGTAAAGGCTGTCAGTGGCATCTTTGAAACCTCACCTTCCCTTCTTCGATTGAAAATGATGACCTCACAAAGAGTCAAAACTGCCAGTTTAGACCAATGCTTAGACGTTGGCTCACTTATTAGGGTTTGCACATATTCAGGTCGACATACCTCAATATGTGCATGCATGGCTCTAACGTCCTCAGTCAGAGGGAGCAGGTCCGGAGTGTTCCACTTGGCTTGCCGGAGGGTCTGTAGGGCAGCAGAAGAAACACAGACGTCCCACCTCTTCTCAAAAAGCAGCCGGCTTCGTTGGAGGTTTTTAATAAATAGTTCATCAACACAATGCTCCATTTTTGAGTCACATTCAAGAATATCTGCTAGCTTTCTGAGGCTATGGCCGAGTTTGAGGGCCAAGGATGGAGTCTTGTATTGATTTGTTTCCTCATCATATCCAGCCACAGACCTGACTGCATCAATCACATGGTTAAAGTTGGAAGGAATAAAGAAATCCTTAATTGTTTTCAGTTTCCCTGCGGTTTTTGCTTCGTTAATTAACCTACCGACTTCTCTCATTTTCTGCCTAATGTAATCATGCTTTGTCTTATCATGCCCGTGTTTTAAGTACAGGTGCTCTCCGAGTCTCAGAATCCCCTTTTCTGCTTTGACAACACCCGTGACCTCATCCTGATGCATTGCCGAAATTAAAGACCACAGCTTTTTGCTGATGCCCTCCGGTACAGGCTGGGCTAGGGAGCAGAGGGACTGGACCCTACTTCTACCTGGTTTAGCCTGGGCATCTTTCTGTGAAAGCCGGCACCTGGCCACATGCCTCCACAGCGACTTTCGCTTAAGCAATGCCCCACAGTCTATACAGTGCAAAAACTCACTGGATTTAACTGGGCAATTTGGCTGTTTAGCTGGGACTAAAGTTCCAATGCCGGCCTTTAAAACCTCAAAATTGTGCTCACGGTTTCCACTATTCCTGATCAAATCAAACTGAAGTTTACGTGCTTTAGATTTCACAGGTAGAGCCAATGCTCTGGCTACGTCACTTTCATTTCCATGTTTTCTAGTCAAATGACGGGACATTTTGTGGCAGGACATTGAACAGTAGAGGCAGAAGTGTCTCTTGCTGTATACTCGCCCCCCATTTTTCTTCTTTTGCAGCTGCATGATAACAATCTTATTTGCCTTTGGTTCGTCACTTTCCGAGTCTTGAAGAAAAGTGTTTTTGATTTTTCTTTTTCCATACTTTTTTACAGGTTTCTTCTTGACAGTTAAATCGTCAGAATCTGAGTCGACTTCATCAATTAGGGACTCTTGACTAAGCTGCACAAACAACAAATAATTTGTAATCATTCTATATAACAATTTGAAGTCATGACTTGTAGTCAGCACTTACCAGTGGTTTGTAAGCGTGCGCTTCAGTGTGCTCCTCCATGATTTCTTGCAGCCTAATGAACCACACACTTGCACCTTTTTCTAGCCTGACACCTGATTTCCTCTGTTGTGCTGCTCCATGATTGGCTCCAGCCTGCTGGACTGACAGAAGAGAGTGTGCCCCTCCTTGATATCCCGCAACCCACCACCAGACCTCACACACTAAAAAATCACGAGAGGCAGATCGCTTTCAGAATGAAAACACAGTGCACACACATCTTTATTTTCGAATTCGCATAGAATTCTATAGACAATACATAATTATTTTAAATATATACGTTAATGCAATTCGTATTATAAAGATAAAGATTATAAAGAAAGAAATAGCATTCAATAGAAACCTCAATAGAAACCTCAACCTTTCACCTCGATTTTTTCAGACATTAAAGACAAGATGTTATATAATAATTGTTTAATGAAAAAACAATTTTGCCACAAGCAACCAAAAGATGTGCCTCAGACAAGAATCGAACCTGGGTTCTCCAGGTCCCAGTCTCTAATGTTATCCATTTGGCCAACATAGCACCTCTGGGTTAGACAGGTTTGCACGCAGTGTTATACCTGAGCGTCTAAGTCGCTGGCAGAGCTAAAGCGGACTTAGCCTGCCACCTTGTGGCGATAAGATGTACTATTTTTCACGCAGCTGCGTGATTCCCGAGAAGCGTGAATGAAGACGACAAAACGGAATGGGACCTACTGTATGCATTTGAACTGATTCTGTTCTAATAGTGAATTTCATGCAGTAAACCACATGAAACGCACAAAACAGGCCAGAAACATCAAGAAATACATTTTGGATTTCAACAATTGTGATTTTATGCATTTGAACCGATTTTATTGTAAAACTGAATTTCATGCAGTAAACCACTTGAAACGCACAAAACGGAACAGAAACATCATGAAATACATTCTGGCTCTCAACAACTGTGATTCTATGCATTTGAACTGATTCTGTTGTAAAAGTGAATTTCATGCAGTAAACCACTTGAAACGCCTAAAACGGACCAGAAACATCATGAATTACATTCTGGCTCTCAACAATTGTGATTCTATGCATTTGAACTGATTCTGTTGTAAAAGTGAATTTCATGCAGCAAACCACTTGAAACGCCTAAAAAGGACCAGAAACATCATGAATTACATTTTGGCTCTCAACAACTGTGATTCTATGCATTTGAACTGATTTTGTTGTAAAAGTTAATTTCATGCAGTAAACCACTTGAAACGCACAAAACAGGCCAGAAACATCATGAATTACATTCTGGCTCTCAACAACTGCGATTCTATACATTTGAACTGATTCTGTTGTAAAAGTGAAATTCATGCAGTAAACCACTTGAAACGCACAAAAACGGAACAGAAACAATGGTGATTCTATGCATTTGAACTGATTCTGTTGTAAAAGTGAATTTCATGCAGTAAACCACATGAAACGTGTTACGGCCGCTAGCGCTGGGCCGCGTCGTACACCCGCTTCCCTCCCTCTCCCGGTGCGTCTCTCTCTGTCTGTGTGTCCGGCTCGTTCCCGCAAAGTCTAGGGCCCGCCTCCCGGATGCTGCCATTCGCCCGGAGTCCTCCTGTATGGCCAATAGGAGCTCCGCCCGAACCAATCTGCGCCACCAGCTGACCTGCCCGCGGCCAATAAAACAGCGGTGTGACGTCCAGACGGGGCGGCTTGTTTCCCATACAAGTGCGCCAGCCTTGAGAGACAGACGTGTGGTGGAGAGCTGACACCTTTTGAGAGACGTTACATGACCGTACGAGACCTTACGAGACCTTATTAGAATTGTGTTACCTGTCGAAGGAACCCCTTTTGTTTAGTTTTCTGACTCTAAGTTTTGTCCAGGACGTTACCTTTTCTGCCTAGAAATAAAAGGCCATTTACTTTCGCCAATTACATCTGGTTGTGTATGTTGCATTTCCTTTCCCCTTCTCAGAGCCAAGTTTAGGGCTGTAACATATATTGGGGGCTCGTCCGGGATCTTGTTTTAAAACATTCCCGACAACAGTGAATGGACATTTACTTTGGGTAAGTGAAGGTGAATTGTATTTGGGCATTTTAAAAATGGTGTTTGACTTCGAGGCCTTCGTGGAAGAGCCTTCCCTTGAGGAGTTGAACAAATGCAAAAAGAAAGACCTCATAGCACTTGCTGTGCATTTTAATATTTTATATTCCAAACAGAGCAGAAAGGACGAGATCCGGGCGCTGCTTGTGGATGGCTTGGTGGAGTTGGGCCTGCTCTCGCAACCAGTGGCTTCTGAGGGGACTGATGAGAGTATCGTGCCTGCGGGAACCCCAAAGCGGGAGGAGAAACCTGGACCTTCAGATGGTTCTCCCCCTGGGACAAAGAGAGCGGGCGCGGGGGTTGATGAACCGCCTAACCCACAGTTCACCCTCCCCCGGTATGACCCACACTCTCCTCCCACCTCTCCTCGGTCCTTGGATGCTGCCCGACGCGCTGTGCGCCTGGCCCGCATTAAAATGGAAGCTGAGCAGAAGGAACGGGACCGCAGTGCCGAGCTCGAATTTCAGGTGCGCAAGCTCGAGATAGAGGCTGACAAAGACGTCAAACTGCGCCGCCTTGAGCTGGAGGCTGAAGGTCGCCTTCCTCCCAGTCCTACTCCCGGCCCTGGACCCACCGCGCAGGCTGCAGCCCACTCCCCATCCGTTCACGGCGGCGCCCTCGATGTAAGTCAATTTATTCCCCTTGTACCCCCCTTCAGAGAGGGAGAGGTGGATTCATATTTTGCTGCATTCGAGCGCATCGCCTCGGCATTAAACTGGCCACGCGATATTTGGCCTCTTTTGCTCTGATGTAAAATGTACGGGAAGGCCCAAGAAATCATTGCAGCCATGCCTCTTGCTGACAGTCTGCGGTACGAAGCAGTCAAGAGCGCCATACTAAGGGCATATGAGCTGGTCCCTGAGGCCTACAGGCAAAGGTTCAGAAGCCATAAAAGGGCCCAAAACCATACCTACATTGAGTTTGCGAGGGAGAAAGGAATGTTATTTGACAAGTGGTGTTCGTCTGCTAAAGCTCAGAGTTTTGCTTCGTTACGTGACCTTATGTTGCTGGAGGAGTTTAAGAGAAGCCTCCCAGACCGTGTTGTGGTATATTTAAATGAGCAGAAGGTTAAAACTATTTCTGAGGCTTCTGTGTTAGCGGATGAGTTTGTTTTGACTCATAAGAACTTTTCGTCATATTCTGTTAATGAGACGCGTGTGTCTGTGCAGCCTGATCGTCCACGCTCTCCTGGAACCTCCACAAGGGACAGAGTCTGCTTCTACTGCCGCGAGCCCGGACACGTAATCGCAGACTGCCCTACTCTCAGACAAAAGGAAGAGTATTCAGCTCCAAACGTTCAGAGCATTGGGTTAATTCAATCTGTAAGTCATAAGTCAGGACCCAATACTGTCCAAAACCACGGCTCCTGTTTTGAGCCATTCGTATCACAGGGCCTAGTATCACTGAATGGCGAAGCACCAGATCAACGCCCCATCCGTATCCTGCGAGACACTGGCGGTTCCCAGAGCTTGATTTTGGCCAGTGCTCTCCCGTTTTCATACCGCTCTTACTGTGGTTACAGGAGTGTGTTACGGGGAGTTGAGATGGGCTACCGCCCGCGCCCCGTTCACTCTGTTCATGTCCAGTCAAACCTCGTTACAGGAAAGTTTCCGTTAGCTGTTGTCCCTGCGCTACCCATTGAAAATGTAGACATGATTTTATGTAATGATTTGGCAGGGGGCATGGTGTTTCCTCCCCTGTTGGATGCGGTTCTGTCCCCGCTTGTGTGTGCCTCTGATCGTCAGATGCCCACGGGTTGTGCTGTGGCGCACACCCGTCCTCCAGAACAGTGCGGTTGTAGTCTGCCCGCCAGTCAAGTGAAACCACGAGTACCGCCGCACTTTACTCCACCCGCCACTTCTGTACGGAAGCACAAGGCTAGGGCCACCAGGCTTCGGTCAGGCGAGCGGCACTTCCAGCACCATGGAGAGCGTTTTGGCTCTCGCGCTGCAAGTTTCAGTTTGCGGCCTTGATCTGTATGTTCCTTTGAGGGATTCGCCACGAGAGAGGCAAAGTCTGTGATTCTGTGTTCGTCTCTCTCTGTCTGTGTGTCCGGCTCGTTCCCGCGAAGTCTAGGGCCCGCCTCCCGGATGCTGCCATTCGCCCGGAGTCCTCCTGTATGGCCAATAGGAGCTCCGCCCGAACCAATCTGCGCCACCAGCTGACCTGCCCGCGGCCAATAAAACAGCGGTGTGACGTCCAGACGGGGCGGCTTGTTTCCCATACAAGTGCGCCAGCCTTGAGAGACAGACGTGTGGTGGAGAGCTGACACCTTTTGAGAGACGTTACATGACCGTACGAGACCTTACGAGACCTTATTAGAATTGTGGTGATTTGTTACCTGTCGAAGGAACCCCTTTTGTTTAGTTTTCTGACTCTAAGTTTTGTCCAGGATGTTACCTTTTCTGCCTAGAAATAAAAGGCCATTTACTTTCGCCAATTACATCTGGTTGTGTATGTTGCATTTCCTTTCCCCTTCTCAGAGCCAAGTTTAGGGCTGTAACAAAACGCACAAAACAGGCCAGAAACATCATGAATTACATTCTAGCTCTCAACAACTGTGATTCTATGCATTTGAACTGATTCTGTTGTGAAAGTGAATTTCATGCAGCAAACCACTTGAAACGCACAAAACGGACCAGAAACATCATGAATTACATTCTAGCTCTCAACAACTGTGATTCTATGCATTTGAACTGATTCTGTTGTAAAAGTGAATTTCATGCAGCAAACCACTTGAAACGCCTAAAACGGACCAGAAACATCATGAATTACATTCTAGCTCTCAACAACTGTGATTCTATGCATTTGAACTGATTCTGTTGTAAAAGTGAATTTCATGCAGTAAACCACTTGAAACGCACAAAACGGACCAGAAACATCATGAATTACATTCTGGCTCTCAACAACTGTGATTCTATGCATTTGAACTGATTCTGTTGTAAAAGTGAATTTCATGCAGTAAACCACTTGAAACGCACAAAACAGGCCAGAAACATCATGAATTACATTCTAGCTCTCAACAACTGTGATTCTATGCATTTGAACTGATTCTGTTGTAAAAGTGAATTTCATGCAGTAAACCACTTGAAACGCACAAAACAGGCCAGAAACATCATGAATTACATTCTAGCTCTCAACAACTGTGATTCTATGCATTTGAACTGATTCTGTTGTAAAAGTGAATTTCATGCAGCAAACCACTTGAAACGCCTAAAACGGACCAGAAACATCATGAATTACATTCTAGCTCTCAACAACTGTGATTCTATGCATTTGAACTGATTCTGTTGTAAAAGTGAATTTCATGCAGTAAACCACTTGAAACGCACAAAACGGACCAGAAACATCATGAATTACATTCTGGCTCTCAACAACTGTGATTCTATGCATTTGAACTGATTCTGTTGTAAAAGTGAATTTCATGCAGTAAACCACTTGAAACGCACAAAACAGGCCAGAAACATCATGAATTACATTCTAGCTCTCAACAACTGTGATTCTATGCATTTGAACTGATTCTGTTGTAAAAGTGAATTTCATGCAGTAAACCACTTGAAACGCCTAAAACGGACCAGAAACATCATGAATTACATTCTAGCTCTCAACAACTGTGATTCTATGCATTTGAACTGATTCTGTTGTAAAAGTGAATTTCATGCAGTAAACCACTTGAAACGCACAAAACGGACCAGAAACATCATGAATTACATTCTAGCTCTCAACAACTGTGATTCTATGCATTTGAACTGATTCTGTTGTAAAAGTGAATTTCATGCAGCAAACCACTTGAAACGCACAAAACGGACCAGAAACATCATGAATTACATTCTAGCTCTCAACAACTGTGATTCTATGCATTTGAACTGATTCTGTTGTAAAAGTGAATTTCATGCAGTAAACCACTTGAAACGCACAAAACAGGCCAGAAACATCATGAATTACATTCTAGCTCTCAACAACTGTGATTCTATGCATTTGAACTGATTCTGTTGTAAAAGTGAATTTCATGCAGCAAACCACTTGAAACGCCTAAAACGGACCAGAAACATCATGAATTACATTATGGCTCTCAACAACTGTGATTCTATGCATTTGAACTGATTCTGTTGTAAAAGTGAATTTCATGCAGTAAACCACTTGAAACGCACAAAACGGACCAGAAACATCATGAATTACATTCTGGCTCTCAACAACTGTGATTCTATGCATTTGAACTGATTCTGTTGTAAAAGTGAATTTCATGCAGTAAACCACTTGAAACGCACAAAACAGACCAGAAACATCATGAATTACATTCTAGCTCTCAACAACTGTGATTCTATGCATTTGAACTGATTCTGTTGTAAAAGTGAATTTCATGCAGCAAACCACTTGAAACGCCTAAAACAGGCCAGAAACATCATGAATTACATTCTAGCTCTCAACAACTGTGATTCTATGCATTTGAACTGATTCTGTTGTAAAAGTGAATTTCATGCAGTAAACCACTTGAAACGCACAAAACAGGCCAGAAACATCATGAATTACATTCTAGCTCTCAACAACTGTGATTCTATGCATTTGAACTGATTCTGTTGTAAAAGTGAATTTCATGCAGTAAACCACTTGAAACGCACAAAACAGGCCAGAAACATCATGAATTACATTCTAGCTCTCAACAACTGTGATTCTATGCATTTGAACTGATTCTGTTGTAAAAGTGAATTTCATGCAGCAAACCACTTGAAACGCCTAAAACGGACCAGAAACATCATGAATTACATTCTGGCTCTCAACAACTGTGATTCTATACATTTGAACTGATTCTGTTGTAAAAGTGAATTTCATGCAGTAAACCACTTGAAACGCACAAAACGGACCAGAAACATCATGAATTACATTCTAGCTCTCAACAACTGTGATTCTATGCATTTGAACTGATTCTGTTGTAAAAGTGAATTTCATGCAGCAAACCACTTGAAACGCCTAAAACGGACCAGAAACATCATGAATTACATTCTAGCTCTCAACAACTGTGATTCTATGCATTTGAACTGATTCTGTTGTAAAAGTGAATTTCATGCAGTAAACCACTTGAAACGCACAAAACGGACCAGAAACATCATGAATTACATTCTAGCTCTCAACAACTGTGATTCTATGCATTTGAACTGATTCTGTTGTAAAAGTGAATTTCATGCAGTAAACCACTTGAAACGCCTAAAACGGACCAGAAACATCATAAATTACATTCTAGCTCTCAACAACTGTGATTCTATGCATTTGAACTGATTCTGTTGTAAAAGTGAATTTCATGCAGCAAACCACTTGAAACGCACAAAACGGACCAGAAACATCATGAATTACATTCTGGCTCTCAACAACTGTGATTCTATGCATTTGAACTGATTCTGTTGTAAAAGTGAATTTCATGCAGTAAACCACTTGAAACGCACAAAACAGGCCAGAAACATCATGAATTACATTCTAGCTCTCAACAACTGTGATTCTATGCATTTGAACTGATTCTGTTGTAAAAGTGAATTTCATGCAGCAAACCACTTGAAACGCACAAAACGGACCAGAAACATCATGAATTACATTCTGGCTCTCAACAACTGTGATTCTATGCATTTGAACTGATTCTGTTGTAAAAGTGAATTTCATGCAGCAAACCACTTGAAACGCACAAAACAGGCCAGAAACATCATGAATTACATTCTAGCTCTCAACAACTGTGATTCTATGCATTTGAACTGATTCTGTTGTAAAAGTGAATTTCATGCAGTAAACCACTTGAAACGCACAAAACGGACCAGAAACATCATGAATTACATTCTAGCTCTCAACAACTGTGATTCTATGCATTTGAACTGATTCTGTTGTAAAAGTGAATTTCATGCAGCAAACCACTTGAAACGCACAAAACGGACCAGAAACATCATGAATTACATTCTAGCTCTCAACAACTGTGATTCTATGCATTTGAACTGATTCTGTTGTAAAAGTGAATTTCATGCAGTAAACCACTTGAAACGCACAAAACAGGCCAGAAACATCATGAATTACATTCTAGCTCTCAACAACTGTGATTCTATGCATTTGAACTGATTCTGTTGTAAAAGTGAATTTCATGCAGCAAACCACTTGAAACGCCTAAAACGGACCAGAAACATCATGAATTACATTCTAGCTCTCAACAACTGTGATTCTATGCATTTGAACTGATTCTGTTGTAAAAGTGAATTTCATGCAGCAAACCACTTGAAACGCACAAAACGGACCAGAAACATCATGAATTACATTCTAGCTCTCAACAACTGTGATTCTATGCATTTGAACTGATTCTGTTGTAAAAGTGAATTTCATGCAGTAAACCACTTGAAACGCCTAAAACGGACCAGAAACATCATGAATTACATTCTAGCTCTCAACAACTGTGATTCTATGCATTTGAACTGATTCTGTTGTAAAAGTGAATTTCATGCAGCAAACCACTTGAAACGCACAAAACGGACCAGAAACATCATGAATCACATTCTAGCTCTCAACAACTGTGATTCTATACATTTGAACTGATTCTGTTGTAAAAGTGAATTTCATGCAGTAAACCACTTGAAACGCACAAAACGGACCAGAAACATCATGAATCACATTCTAGCTCTCAACAACTGTGATTCTATGCATTTGAACTGATTCTGTTGTAAAAGTGAATTTCATGCAGTAAACCACTTGAAACGCACAAAACAGGCCAGAAACATCATGAATTACATTCTAGCTCTCAACAACTGTGATTCTATGCATTTGAACTGATTCTGTTGTAAAAGTGAATTTCATGCAGTAAACCAATTGAAACGCACAAAACAGGCCAGAAACATCATGAATTACATTCTACCTATCAACAATTGTGATTTTATGCATTTGAACTGGTTCTGTTGTAAAAGTTGTTGTATATTTTAAATATACACTAAACAGATGTGACAATATTTGA